CATACATTCATAAAATAGTGATTCAATAAAATTTTGAATGTGAGTCTACAAAGGCCTTTGACCTGTGACCATAGGAAGACCCATCTTGGTAGGGTCAATAAAATTTCAAGGATATTATAATGCTGTTAAACTACTGTAAGCCTAATGCTGTGAGTCACATTTTAGAATTTGTGTCAAGCATTTCAGAAGAAACTCTAATGCAAAACACTGTGTAAATGATGTGTTTTTTCAGAAGTATTATGGCAATTTTCATACTGTTTATTATACTGTAACAAACCTAGTGACGCATTACTGGATTAATAGCCAATAATACTGTTAACACAGAGGGTACTGAACTGATGAAACAATGGATTCTCATTATTACCAGCAGAGACTCATAAAACGTGTGGTCAAATTAGTATCTATACTGCAACAGTACTTCTTTAAATACAGCATTTTTAGAATAACACAATATAATTCTAATCGCAGACACCAAAATCTACAAGTCCACTTGTCTTAGGCCTAACATTAGTTAAACCTTTATTAAGTAGTCTATATTCAATATAGTGTAGGGTGACCAGACATCCTGATTTTGCAGGGACAGTCCTATTTTTTGGTATTGTGTCTCGGTGTCCTGTGACAAGTTCTTGGAATGCAAAAAGTGTCCCGGTTATATGACAAAGACATCAAACTGTCAGTTTCACCAAATCACGAATGTAATAGGCCTACTTGACTTGCTCATTGTTTCAACATGTACTCTTCTGCCACCAAACTCTCTCTACAGTTCTGTCTGTGTATGTGAGAAACCCAGGTCGGCACATGTCAAAATGTGGAGTTAGTTAAAGCTCATCATCAAAACATACTTTACACAGTCATGTACTGAATTTTATGACTATTTAATGAAAAAATAGAACTTCTACGTTCTATTTTTCTTCATAAAAATATGTCTTAAAAAGTTTCAGAGTAATGCTAAAACCTAAAGTAGTATGTTGAAAAGATATGAATTAGCCTATTTTAATATAAATTGGATAAAGTGAATAAATAAAGATTACTTAAATGTATAATTTGACTATTTTTGCTCATTTGTTTAGTGTCTGTCTCCAAAAAAAAAGTAGTTAAAATTATTTCAAAGACAATGCCAATATTAATATATTTGGAACTATTATGGAGCATTTCAATAAACTAAGTATATTAAATAAAATATAAATTATTTCAAATTTATAATGGCTGGAGACGGCTTGAATGGGTAATGAAGAAAAACTTTAATATAAGTTTAATGATGACAAAACCTTGTC